TCAGAAGTAGTTTACCATTCCCTTCTACTGGGGGCACCATGGAACTCTGTAGTTTGCCCAAGGCCACACAGGCTGGCTCTACTCACAGGAAGCACAGGGGGCAACTCCCAAACTCTGCCTCCACAGCCAGATACCGAAACCACTAAGTTATCCAGCCAGTTCCTCAGGTGTATATATAGCCTAACTAATAAGGACTGAGCAGAGTGAGAGATAAAAGCAAGCACTGACAATATTGTTCTCTCTCACTGAAGTGGTTAAGATGACTGGAATCCTATTGCTTACATTATTTTTATTTATTTATTTATTTGATAATATAATATAATATAATATAATATAATATAATATAATATAATATAATATAATATAATATAATATAATAAAAACAACAGTAGTAATATAGCTCAAGATGGGAAAAATATACATATGCTCACATGAGTGCTGTGGTGCACATTAGAGCCACAAATTGGTGCTACTGAAGGCATTGCTGCTTGTATTCCTCGCTATTCACTAAGTTATGAAGTAACAGACACTATTGCTTACATATCTGAACTCTAAGCAACAGGATTCTGGTTAGTAGTTGCTAACCTGCATGGAAATACACTCCAAAATTTCTAATTAGGGAATACCTAACTACGTTTGAATGTTTAATTATGGATTGTCCTAACTATGTTGCAATTTCAATGCTATCTTCTCTGACAGGATATCATTATTACTTCCTGCAGTTTAATAAGTGAAGCTTCTTAAGAGTATAGGGTCTTCAAATAGATTCCAATAGTTGCAAAACAAATATTAGCACCATCTCATGTGCTTTTAAAGCACATGACAGTGTAGCAAAGGCTATGGTGTATGCGTTTTTCATGCTAAAGGGACAAAAATCCGAACTGTGTCATGCATACAAAATACAAGTACATCTTTAAAATCATAAAATAGCACCAATTTATTTGTCTCTGTCTTCTTTACAGATCTCCAAATTCATGTTAAGCCACATTTTACAAACAGACACCAAAGACAACCCAGGGAACCGTATGCCAGTAGCACTAGACAGCTTGTCTCCATTCACTGGCAACCCATGAGAATCCTAGATTAGTGGGTTACACAAGGTCATACAGCAATCTTGCTAATTTGTTCCCTTATGTATTCTAAGAGCTCCTCGGTGACAGCAGAAGGAATGAAACATTTGGTAAAGCCCTAGATTGCTGAAACAGCCTCCTGAACACAGCAGAGTTGATTACACCAAAAAATTGTGGGTTTCAAAGAGAGAGATTGTACAGAATACATCACATCTCCTACGTGTGCATTTGGAAGGACAGGGGATTAAGACAGGCCATCTTAAAACTTTTTGCAGCCTTCTGTCACTGATGTCAGTTTGTGTATGCTTGAATTCCAATAGGTTTTAAATAGACTACGAAGATAGGAAACAAAACTGACAAAAAACAGTTTTCCCAACTTGGGAGTGTTCGAGATTGAGAAATGTTACAGGGAGGAACACACCTAGGTATAGAGGAATGCTACCGTGTTGCAACAAGTAGCCAACAAATAATCACACACCTTCCCAAGTCCACCTTTTACAAAAAGATGATATACTAACCGTTCAGTCTAGGAGATAGACATGTTGATTGCAAGAATTATGGCAGTGCAAGGTTCACTGAAATTAATGAGAACTCTGCCAGCAAAGTCCTTACACACGCACGCACAAACAAAACAGGCTGCCTATAAGGAAGATCTCAGATACTAATTTTAGTAAGAATCGCTTCTTTTTCTTTGTTGTAGTTTTAGAAGAGGTAGCCGTGTTAGTCTGTGCAAGTATATAAGGCAAAATCTAAGCAAAACAAAACAAGGACAAAAACATGTGGCACCTTAAAGACTAACTTTTATTTTAATGTGAGCTTTTATGGAATCAGGTCCACTTTTGCAGACATATAGAAAAATGAAGAAGTGGATTTGATCCACGAAAGCTCACATTAAAATATAATAGTCTTTAAGACACCACATGTTTTTATTCTTGTTTGGTTTGTTTTGTCTTGTTTCTTTGGATTTTGCCTGATATTCTTGTTCTTTGTTTTCACTCTGGATGCATGTGCTAATCAAACCATTATGACTAGAGAAGACAGGAACTGTAGCCCAACACAATGGAAAGATACCAGGCAGGAATGTTGCCTCAATCACTTGTTCCTGCTAGTGTATAAAATGAGCGGTTCCAAAGGCCAATGTAACTGCCCACCCCAAAATCTGCAACAGCAACAGTCCTATGCCCAAACTGTCAAGTGTTCAGAATTTCAATTGGGATTTTGAAAAGTTATGGAAAAGTCTCTACTCACTCTCTGGGATTAAAGTGAAGCCCTTCACTATGTTTTCTAGCAAGAGCCAATTTTCTGTCCAGGGATCCTTCAAGGGCAACACAGAATACCAAAGTGGGGGAAAAGAACTCTAAACCAAAAGATCATGAAACTCTTCTTCTGGTTCTAAAAAGTGGTATTTTTTGCAATCTTAAACAATGCAGAACACCCTCTTCCAGAGAACTATTTAAAAGATGAATCTTTGGTTCTGGAGATTTCTGGGAGGGCTGATTCACCTTTTTTTCATTAGGGAAACCCTTTTTGGGGCAGAGAGGTGGGAGACTCTTGACAGAACTGAGGATCACAAAACCAGTATTGGGACTACAAGTGATTTTGGAGTGCAATTTGCCAACCCAGCTTTAGAAGAAAAGCACTGCTCTTCCATAGTTCTTGATAACAGTTCTCTTGTTTGAACATGTATTTCTAGGTGGTAGTTTCAAGTCGCCTGTAGGTCCATCTCAACTAACAGCTATAACCAGTACTTCTGATTGTGAAGGTTATGTGTCCACAACCTGCTGCTTGGCAGGTGGTGTGTGTGTGTGTGGGAAAGTTATGTGTCCACAACCTGCTGCTTGGCAGAAGGTGTGTGTGTGTGGGGGGGGAAATAGGAGTTCCTTCCATTGATCTGTCAAGCCTGGCTGCCACAGGGCACCTCCCTATAATACTCTTCTCAAAAATACAACCCTTCTGTACAGGAGGGGCAGGAAAGCTTGTTTTCCTCAGATGTTCACATTACAACTTCCAACTGGCAAGGCCAATGGTCATGAACTGTAGCCCAAATATTTGGCACTAGATTGTCTCCCTGTTGTAAAGCAGCAGATGTTAACCTCAGGCCCTCTATATATTTGGATCACTGGCTGGGGCTTTGGGGGATTGTTGGCCTGAAACGTATCAATATACTCCTATATATTTGGATCACTGGCTGGGGCTTTTGGGGATTGTTGGCCTGAAACATCTCAATCTCCTCTTTAGGCAGTGNGTGGGTGGGGTGGAACCAAGAGCTCTCAGATCTGCCACCTCAGCCAGTGAAAGGAAAGCTGCTCAGGGTGACCACGATGGTGGTTGCCAGAATGTATAAGGCAGTTATGGGATGTGGGAGGCAGGATGATGAGCGAGAAGGAGAAGCAATGACACAGAAAGTATGGAAGAGAGCAGGGGTTTAGCTGTTTTCTGAAATGGGGGCAGCGGTTTAAGCAAAATTCTATGCCAAATATAAGAACTTGCTTCCTGATGGAGATGGGATTTTATACCCATGCTCTGCCACCTATACAGGCTTCATGTGGTTTTTTGCCCAGATCTAGAAGGGTGGTACCCTGGCAGAGGGGCTGGATTGGTTTCGCAGGGTTGTCAGGTGAAGGGAGGAAACAGGTCTGTATGTTCTGTGTACCAGTCAGGCTACTGGTCCATACAACACTCCTGCTGATATGTTAAGTTGTACTAAAAGGGTACACCTCTTCCTATTCGACATTTCCTAATGTGGGACTCATTCTATAGATTTATGTCTTAGTGCTTCTTCATGGAAAACATGAGCTGGTTCACTCTCTCAGCATCCCATATGCAGCTCATGGGTCCTCGTCACTGGGTGCTGAGTCTAAAAGAAAAACACAGTACCTTCTGTTTCAGCAGCTGCTGTCTGCTGCTATGGCTGATGAACTGAGCTACGGTGCCTGGAGCACAAATGATTTCTGTTCTACCCTGGCATATTCCTCTCCCATGGTCTATGAATGCTAAAACAAGTTATAACATTTCCATATCTTCTGCAACATCATGCCCTGTGCAGTGACCTCTGGGTGCTGCTGGAGCAGAAGCATGTCTGCATTGCCCTGGGTTTTGGATGCAAAGGGTCTGCTCCAATTGGTCTGAGCTTCTTCACTGCCCCTGTGTGTAGCCAATATTACACACACAGCCCCTGATTGGTGGCAGTGTTTCCAGGGAGAATGAGAAAGTGCTCAATGGTTTCCCCCTGTTTTTATATTTTCCTCTTGTGCATTTATTCCTTTGGCTTGGTGGATGTAGTGGTACAGCGAGAATCTATCTCCAGTCTTAGCACAAGAACAATATAGGATAGCTCAGCCCAAGAAGTCTTGAGGTAGGGGGATTCAAAGAAGTGTTTTTAATTGTGCTTCCAAATTACTAGATTATGAATTGTGTCAATGCCACAGTGGGTAGGGAGGAAGGAGTTAAGGTTCAAGGAGCTCAGCCCCACCCTCAACATTTTGACATTTACAATTTGATATTTCATTATTATTTCAAGCAGCCGTGCAAGATGAACTTGAGTTTTTCTAATGAACTGTAGATCTTAAACATATCCTACAAGTAAGATGTGTAAAATATTTTCCCCTTTCCCTACTCTATGAAGTCGTTTCTAAATATATGCTCATTCTTCATGGAAAGAAAACCATTTTATCTAAGAAAGCAATTAAGCTTAATTACTTCCAAATATACTTCACCTTGAAATTGGATCAGGGATTAACCTGGCTTCTCCAGTTTATGACCATGTGCTACCTTCCACGGTACCTCATCCATTTTCTGAAAAGGCTATATGTTGGTATTATTGTTTTGAAAGTGCAACTTTTTTTTGGAACAAGCTAATACCAATGGACAGGCAATGTACAGCTCTTACAGTAGCGCTGCTCAAAGTAACTTCCTGCAACTCCCAGTCCCTTTAGCAAAGAAATATTTAGTCACATCAAGAACTGTGCAAGCAGGTTAGCCACTCCTAAGAAGATTATCAGAACGTGAACACCTGCTGCCAACCAGGTTAGCCGATTTTCCCGATGCAAAGAGATCATGTAGATGAGTGATGGATATACGAATACAAAGGCCAGGCCACAAGCTGCTCCAGAATATCTGGGGAGGGAAAACAAAAACAGTGATTCTGTATTAACTTGATTATGATGCAATCCTATTACATGTCTGCTCGATATGTTCAGTGGGCTTACTTCCAGGTAAGCAGATCCAAAATTAAAGCTCTGACGTTTCTGTCATATCAAAAGCCCAGTATCTGCTCTGATACAAAAGTCCGTATAAATGTTAAATTGCTTTTATGCCTTTTTGTTCCCAGTAAGCATATGTTTCTTTAAAAAAAATAATTAAATTTAAAAGTAACCCTCAATAAAAATGCCAAGATCAATTTAAAAATATATAAACAAAAGAAAATAACAAAAATAGCTACAAAAATAACAATGTCATCATTATTACAAGTAACACCTCTTATACACAGTAAATAACAAAAATAGCTACAAAAATAACAATGTCATCATTATTACAAGTACCACCTCTTATATACAATTATCCTTATTACTAACATTCAGTGCTCTCCCCCCCCCCAATTGGGGCCGATCAATTTAAAAATATATAAACAAAAGAAAATAACAAAAATAGCTACAAAAATAACAATGTCATCATTATTACAAGTACCACCTCTTATATACAATTATCCTTATTACTAACATTCAGTGCCCATTGGTGCCTTTTAAGAGATACCCATTTTATTACTTATTCCAAGTCCCTTGTCCCTTCCAAAAATGCCATGTATCTTATGCTGGTGCCTGACCTTTCACTTTCACGGAAACAAATTCTATGAAATCCCTCCATATATCATTAAATTTATTCATTTTTAACAAACTCTTTCTAATTTTAATCTCACATTTCACTTATCATTAATTAGCATCTGTTTCCCCCTTCCCTTATGGTAGGGAAGTCCCAGAAGTTCTCAGCTACAATGCTCATCAACCTATCCAGCATATCCAATTGCTGCGTTCGCAAGGGACAATATGCAATGGAGCCTAGCACAGCTGGAGGCTCCCAGGTCAAGGAAGGCTTCCTTTTGACATAATATGACATTTCCAAGGGGCGACAAGTCCTGAATAGCTGCTCCATGCAACCTATTCAAAATTGCTTCTGTAGGAGCTTATTTAGGCTATGGCCAGGATCCAAGATACTGTGATGTTCTGTTCTGCTTGCCAAAAGAGGGTTTTGGCTTCTCAAACAGCAACTTTCCGTGCTCTATGGCAAACCACTCTGAAAACTCAGGAGAGTTCCAAAGCACCTGCAAACATGGTGCAGGGCGATGATCTACTGATCAAAGCCTAAAATGCTGGTAAGCCTAAGTGAGCCCTGAGGTGTGCGTAGAACAGTTCACTGGAGCCCTACCAATCTGGTCTTGAGAAAACCAGCTGGTGTTGACAACCTTTTAGTTCAGTAATGTGGAACTATTTTTCAGTTTAGCCATGACTGCAATACTCTTCTACAGTGACTACATTTTAAGGTACATTAATAAACAACATCTATACAGCAGACCACACTGTGCAAAACAGTTCAAGCTAATGCTGACAACAGCTCTCTCTGTAAGGCAGATCATCATTATTATCACTATACTGTAGATGGGGTGCCAGAGCTGAGAAATTGTGGTTTGTCTGGAGTTTAAAAGCTGAGAGGAAGAAAAAAAAAAGGTTCTTCCATTGTTTCACATGGGTCGCTGCCTTTCTACAATGTGCTTGAGGCCACCCCTGTGTCTCTCTTTTAACAAACTGCACCTTGAACAACGACACACATGAGTTTTTTTGGTCCTTTGGATGGACTGGGAGGGGATAGAGCTACAATATGACCAATCAAGGCTCCCCCTCTCATTTTTTCTTTTTCTTTTTATTATATATATGGAAATAGGAATAACCAGAAGAGTGCAGGTGACTATGTGAAAGATGCACGAAACACTGTTCAAGGCCCTTCATATGCAGCCAGTTTAACAGAAACCTCAAGTCCTGAGGAGCAATGTGTATGAGAAGACCAGTGGGGAAGTTAAGGAATGGACACTGACAATAAAACTTTCCTCCTGAGAACGGTAAAAAGATTAACGTATAAATGTATACGGTGTAGACTACAATTGCAACATACGTTTGTATAATACATCTGAAGCAAATGTTTTGACCACTTGGCAGATACATATAGATGATCAAGCTACACTATATTAAGAAAACTCTCCCATTCTTGATAATTTGTCTGTGAGAGCAACCCGTGAATCTCTTCCATACAGTAACTGTTACAGTAGGCCTAGCCTTTACTTGAGGCAGACTTAGGCATGAATGGGAAAACAGAATTTTGAGGTGACAAGATGAACTACAGCACTTCAAACATCAGCCAGGGTGGTGATGTCATGTTTTTGGATGATCACTCCCACCCCAGCAAATAGGAAATTAATGCAACAGATTGCAATGGTAAAATCCACTCTATGGCCTTATTATTATTTATTCTATTCCTCATATAGAAAGATATATTTATTCTATTGCTCTTGTAGACATACATAGTTCTTTTATTCATATAGACCAGGGGTCTCCAAACTTTTGACTGTAAGGGCCACACTGGATATTTTCAACATTTTTGAGGGTGGAGGGAACAGGAATGTACAAGAGGGCGTACACATGGCCGCCTGTCCCCTCCTGCATGCACGGACTCTTGCCCGCATGCACGGCCATCCCCCAGTGCATGCATGGGTTGAAGGGAACGGGCCGGATAAAACAGCAAGGTGGGCTGGATATGGCCTGCGGGCTGTAGTTTGGAGACCCCTGATATAAACAGACAGTATTTATTTCCTAAGCTTTCACTGAACAAATATCATGTTTGGCTTCAACTTTTACAAGGTTAAAATAATGTATTTTATATGACAGATTATGTATCTGCCTTCAGTAAGAAACTTCCAGTGTGCAAAAAGTAATTCAAATTGAACAGTACCTTATGATTCCTCCTATATTTGGATAAAATCTGGCCATTGCAATGCCAACTCCTACCACGGCTATGTTAAAAATGAGCACATGTAAAACACTGCAAGACAAGAAGGAGAGAGAAAAACCATCCAATGTCTACTGCTGCAAGAACAACCCTTTTTATAAGCTTCAGTAAGTGAGTGAAAATATTTCCATTTCTATGACTCATCCACTAAAAAGGCAATTAATTTTACTCGCATCAAGTCTGACATCTACTGAATCCTCTGAGAGCGAGATCCTAAAAAGTTCTCTTTAATGTATGGACTCACAGCTAATTCTCTAATGCAGCATGTATAATTTGGCAAATCTTCTGAAAACAATGTAGCTAGCACAGTATATTGAATTCCAGATTTTGGGTTCTTTTGCTGCGCAAAAGTTATCAAACCAAAGAATTACATACGCTAGAACATACGTTGCGTTTTGGATCCAGGAAATGATCTGAGTTATGTAAGCAGATTAATAAATACCAAAGGAAGAATCTTCAAATGAGCATAAAGCATTACGCTGTAATGCACATCCCGTTGCAAATAGCCTTGTTTAAATACCAATTTTGAAACTTTAGGGTAATCGAGGAGGACATATGCCTCAAAACAGTATGTTTTGGTATTTAAAGAAAAGAAAGAAGCCATATAAAGAAAAGCTTAGATACTGAGAGTTTGATAAAGATCAGAAACAACTCAAACAAAAATAGCACATAACCCAGCAAGTTAATATGGGCAAAGTTAGAATTTTAAGCAGTGTTAGGTAATTTTGAAAATATTGTTTTTAAGCAAAACATAAACTTTATGTATATGAAAGGTAGAAAATCCATTTCTTAAAAATGTATTGGAAATTTGGAGTAAGTTTAGGAAAATATTTATTTCTTCAACATTTAATCTAGTAGTAGAATTAGAAAAATTTCCAAGAAATCTAAATGAGAGCTTGGGGAAAACATATACAGTGGTGCCCCGCATAGCGACGATAATCTGTGCAGCAAAAATCGTCGCTATACGGATTTGTCACTATGCGAAATTAAAAAGCCCATAGGAATGCATTGAAACCCCTTCAATGCGTTCCTATGGTCTTGAAACTTACCTTTTAAGCGAAAATCCTCCATACAATGGCCATTTTAGCTGCCCGGTAAGCGAGGAATCCGTCCCTGTTTTACCCGGCGGCCATTTTGGAACCGCCAATCAGCTGGGGAAAAAACATCGCTATGCGAAAATCGGTAAGCGAAACAGCTTACTGATCGTCGCAAAGTGATTTCCCCCCATAGGATACATTGTTATGCAATCGCAAAAGCGATTGCAAAAACATCATCGCTATGCGGATTCGTCGTTAAACGGGGTGCCCGTTATGCGAGGCACCACTGTAAAAGAATCAGGTTAACAGATTAAAAGGTTGAAGAAGATGATTGACAGAAAACAAATAGTTAGGAGGGGAAGGGTGGAAGTATCTTGTCTTAATAGGATTCAACTGGAATAAGATTAGAGTGGATAACAGAAAGAAAAATGTGGAGACTTTACAAAATTTGAAGACATGGTATTAACGGAAAAACAGGATGATAAATTAACGAAAGGAACAACAAGTAAAATTTATAAGATGTTACCAGAAGTGGAACATCAACATGATGGATGCTCTTAAGGTGTCATGGGAAATGGGTCTGGGAAGTGAAATAAGTACCAACATGTGGAAAAATATTTGGGATAAAAAATAATAAACTGCATGTCAGTAAGAATAAAAGGAAACTACTATAAATTAGTTTAAATATGGTATTTAACACAGGTAACATTGAATTGTTTAGACAGCAAATTTCACATCTATATTGGAGATATGATCAACATGTAGGTACTTATCTCCATATGTGGTGGGAATTAAAGAATGTATTGAAATTTCAGAGGTTGGTTTTCAAATAAATCAATGAAATATTGAAGAGTTAAGTCCCAGAATAGCACTGTTATCAATATTTGATGAGGAACAAAGGATTTGGACAGTAAAGGAATTAATAACAAATTTATTAACAACAAGATTCATTATAGCAAGGAACTGGAAATTAAAGCATGAATTTCAATTAACTGATTGGTATAAAGAAGTCTGGAACACAGCAATTAATTGTAAGTACTTGCGATATTAAGGTTAAAATGGGTTTGTCAAATCAGAATATTTTTAGAGATATTTGGAAAGTGTTCACTGATTTTGTATTAATTAAAAGGAAGTGGTGTGCACCTTCAAAAGAATCAATTTGGGAAAGGGAGCGGGCCACCATGATTGAAAATTTGAAGTAATATATCTTCAAATGGTCCAGGTAGAGGCGGGGCACTGATATATAATTGAATAGTTTAAGTTGTTTTCTGTATGTATGTATTCAGTTCTTTAAACAAGACAAAAGAAAAGCATCTTTCTTTTCATCCTGTTCATTCGACGTTCTGGAACATGGCAGCATATAAGACATCAAGATCACTAACCCTTTCTTCTTAAAAATGCAGATATCTGCTCAGTCTTACTGAACTGAACGGGGGGAAGGGACCAGAACACCCAACCATTTTACTTTGAAGTCCATGTTTAACTTCCTTTTAAATTATGGCCTAGGAAAGGAGACACAATGGGCTGCAAAACAATTAAGATATTACTCAACAATTTTTTTAAAAAAGACACAGGTTAAACATGTACCTGGATGTTTAAAAATGTACTTCTGCACTTGTTGAGTAAGACGTTTAATTATAAAATAGAGGATTCAGGACAGTAGTGTACTGGAAAATCACAATGAACGCCCCCCCCAAAAAAAAACTCACAGAGGGGTTATAGCTTTTGAATGGTATAGTGAACCAAGCAACAATGCTACAAAACCAATGCATATGCATAGGTCTACTCAGAGGACTGATGAGGTATAACATTTCCAGGAGTCTAGAGTAGGAAAAGTGACAGCCTCTGCTATGTGGCAATTGTTGAAGATACCTCCCATAGTGTTCTAGCTGTGATCACAGGAAGAGAACCACTAAAAGCAGGCTGGTCATCTAATTGACGAAAACTGGCACAATTACCCAAAGCAACAAACTATGGTTGCCTAGTAAGGTAATAAAATGCCCCTTGATTGGTGATGGATTCTCTTTTGGTAGAAGTTTTTAAGCAGCAGTTGGATAGCCATCTGTCAGAGATGTTCCAGCTATGGATTTCCTGCTCAGAGAGCTGGATTTCATGGCCCTTGGGATCCCTTCCAACTGTACAGCTGTATGATGTCTACTCTGATAGCAGAGGAGTGACAGAAAATTTTGCAGACTATAGTCTTAAAAAAAGCCTTAGCAGGTCTTAGCATATCAGGACAGGACAGGGTAGGGAAGTGATAATTCTTCAGACATTTCAGCCTATAACTCCAATTAGCTCTGTCCAACATGTCCCATAGGAAATGAATGTGGGAGGTGTAATCCAGAATACTTGAAGGACTGAAGATTACACTGCCGAAAAGGAGAAGTTAGGCTACATACTCATTGTTCTAGAACTGGGGCTGAAGATCTTATGAAACCTGTATAGATGCCAGACCATGAGCGTAATACACTCTCATAATCCCATCACCATCTGGAAGTAGATTCTTACATTTGGCACCAAATTTAGCTGAAATCTCTGGACAATTGGCAGATCCTCGTGTTGGAAAACAGCCCAGAAACAATACGTTTCTAAACAAAATAAGTTGTCAGGAGTATGTTGCTGAGCAGCAAATTGCAAAAATAAGTTGCTTCACTTTCCCTTAAATATAACTAAAATGAGTAGTAAACTTACTGCCAGGGTAGTGGCAGTAAGTCTGCATTATTATTCCAATATTCTAACAATCTGTTTTTTATATATCTTTCCTAGAATCTTGCTGCCAGGAACTATAAAAATGGCAGTTTCCACATCTGTAAGTTTTGAGTCTTGAAAGAAAATGTTCACTTTGGATTTCAAAGATCATGAGATTCAGTGCAGAATGTCCTGTAAAAAGCATGCTTGAGTTTAAAGATTAAGATAGGAAAATTTACTGCTTAGTCCAGTGGGTGATAAAACATTAAAGCAAGCCAATGAAGTCTGAAGAAGAGTGCATAACTGTATTCAAATGCTTCTGCACAATTTCAAAGTGGGCCTGATGGATCAAGTCTGGCAAAATCATTCTCCAAGTCAAAAAGCAAAATCTACTACTAGTGAAGTGCTTGTCTACTAATACAACTCTACAAGCCTAGGCTATTCCTCTTCTCTTATGGTTAATGGATTATAGACATGGGTACAAACTGCCAGTTCGGGGGTTTGTGCCAGTTCATTGAATGGACAAACTTCCCTGCCCTAATTTCTCCAGTGGGTGCCCACTCAGAGGCAACACCCTGGCTTCCTCAATCTACTACTAGTGAAGTGCTTGTCTACTAATACAACTCTACAAGCCTAGGCTATTCCTCTTCTCTTATGGTTAATGGATTATAGACATGGGTACAAACTGCCAGTTCGGGGGTTTGTGCCAGTTCATTGAATGGACAAACTTCCCCGCCCTAATTTCTCCAGTGGGTGCCCACTCAGAGGCAACACCCTGGCTTCCCCAACCCGCCTCCTCCAGGCTCTGCCTCTCAGTGAGCACCTGCCAAAGGAGGTGGAGCTAGGAAGTGCTGAACACCTCTTCGGCTGTCCAACGAACTGGCACAAACTGTCAAACCAGTGGTTTTCCCCCCATCTCTAGTGGGTTGTAGTGCAGTCTCAGCAAGACCCCTAAGAGATATAGGTACATGCTTCAGTTATTACTGATACATTCTTGCTAACAATAGCCATCAGTAAGTTGTAGCAAATGGAGATTCATAAGTCTATATAGACTTGTTTGGTTGGGGTTTTATTAGCCAAAGCATGCATCTGAAGGTATGTGATGTGGCAAATTTGCTGAAATAATGCAAGTACTCTGAAGAGCACTTAAATGAAAAGCCTGCTGAAAGAATATCACAGTAGCATCATCAAAGAAAGGATGGCTATTAATGTACCATATTTTCGCTCCATAAGACGCACTTCCCTCACCCAAAAAAAGTGGGGAGAAAGTGTGTGCGTCTTATGGAGTGAATATTGTCTTCCCACCAAGTCTTATGGAGTGAATACTGGCTTCCCACCGACGCCATTGCCACCACGCCGCCCTTCTCCTCCCCTTTCAGGGCAGGGAGCGCTTCCGGATGACGAGCTGGCTGGGACAGAGTTTTAATTTAAAAAAATGTTTTTTAATTAGGTGCATCTTATCGTCATATGCTCTTATGGAGTGAATACTGGCTTCCCACCGACGCCATTGCCACCACGCCGCCCTTCTCCTCCCCTTTCAGGGCAGGGAGCGCTTCCGGATGACGAGCTGGCTGGGACAGAGTTTTAATTTAAAAAAATGTTTTTTAATTAGGTGCATCTTATCGTCATATGCGTCTTATAGGAGCTGGCTGGGACAGAGTTTTAATTTAAATTTTTTTTAATTAGGTGTGTCTTATCGTCATATGTGTCTTATAGAGCAAAGAATACGGTAAATGTTAATAACCAGCTCTTTCTATCTACAAACATCACTACAATTTTATCTTAATTTCTTGACTAGTTGAAAAGTTTTATCGCATAGCAAGCAGATTAAAAATCACTGCTCTCAAAATCACCATCATGGCACTCTATGGCTTTCTCTGTTGCTTCTCTAATTTGGGAATGGGCAAATGGCTCTAAAGAAAAACAGTCTGGACATAAAATTGATGGCTACCCATGAAGACCCTCTTTACTAGGTACACATAACCGACTCAAACATTTTACACGAAGGTTGATCCACAGGAAGATGAAGTTTCACCTTTGAGGTGTTGAGAAATTAGTTTCCAAGACAAGAGAATAATATGTAACAACTACAGTAAGTAGTGGGATCATTCCATACCTTATAGCCCTTTAATAGTTCAGCTGGTGCTCTGTAATCTGTTCAATGCAAATAGAACTGTGCATCTATGGCCCTTGTTTGGGTATTCATATGTAGTGCAGCAGAAGAGCAGTGCAGAAGAAGAGGAGCACCAAAATGGGACATGAAAGGACTTTACTGGCCTATCACTTATAAGGAACCTGCAAAATGCTTTAGAAGCAGCAGTGTTTAGAGGCTAAAGTTTCTGATCAAGAGACCTCTAACTCTTTATTTAACTAGAAAGGCTAAGGTCCCACTTACTTCCTAATCATCCAACACTCTTAAAAAGCCAACAAAGAATATTTTGAGGCATCCGTGGTTATGATCAACAAATACTAGATTGCTTCCCTGAGATTATCCCAAAGCACTGTGCAACTTTGCTACACAGAATGATTTCAAATGGGGAGCCACCATTGTTCACCAGCAAACATTCGCCTTGACAAAAGGGAGAGAACAATGAGAATCTGTTCTAAGGGCGAAACAGAAGAGCTAAGGCATGCAGAGAGAGGCGTCATTACCTTGGGTAAACATTTCCAAATACATGCCCTAAAAGCTGAACTCGTGCAAAATAGCCAAGCAGTGGATACACAGTCACCATCTGGAACAGCAGGAATATTCTTGCAAGAAATGACATGATGTCATTGCTGGGGAAATTGTCTAGAAAGTTCTAACAAAGGAAAAGACTAATGAGACAACAGCAAAAACAGATCTCTTAGAACATGTATTTTTAAATTAACAAAAATCACCATCACATATACAGGTTACAGAAAACCTTAAAACTGTCTCATCCATTTAATACTCTGTCTTCAATATTGCTGACAATTACATTACACAGCTAATGTAAAGCAGAACTCATATACACCCCCTTTATCCATAGTACTTTGTGACCTTGAATTTAAAAATGAATAGAGACCCATTTTATAAGCAAGGCTATTACTACCCAAGGCAGATTCTTACATTATGTTGTCTTACTTACACTTATTAGAAGACCTATAGATAAGAAACAGTAACTCTAGAACAAATTCGGAGCCCAAAACAGGGTCAGTGGATGGAGGGATAGTAGCTACGTTAATGAAGAGCATTATGAGGTCATTTGTTTGGCATGATGACCAGAAGTTTGACTATCACAGCCAAGAAACTTAGGAAGTTGTCTCATACTAAGTTAGAACCTTGATTCATCTTGTCCAATACAATTAACTTTGACTGACACAGGCTCTCGAGGGTTTTAAGTATGATTCATTTCTAATCTGACATGGAGAACCTTGAAATTATTTGAAAGTCTCCCATCCAAGTACCAACCAGGCCTAACCCTGACTAGCTTCCAAAATCAGATGAAACCTAGTGAGTTCAGAGAGCCATGATGGGAGTATGAAGAGATACATCTTAGTCCACAAGAGGAGAAATATTCTTGTCCAATACAATTAACTTTGACTGACACAGGCTCTCGAGGGTTTTAAGTATGATTCATTTCTAATCTGACATGGAGAACCTTGAAATTATTTGAAAGTCTCCCATCCAAGTACCAACCAGGCCTAACCCTGACTAGCTTCCAAAATCAGATGAAACCTGGTGAGTTCAGAGAGCCATGATGGGAGTAAGAAGAGATACATCTTAGTCCACAAGAGGAGAAATATGTGCCCTTCCTATGTTGCCAGACTGCAATATAACATCTAGTGTGGTGTAGTGATGAGTGTTGGTCTATGTTCAAGTTGTCACTATGCCCCAAAACTCACTGAACTAAGATTAAGCCAGACATTCTCTTTTGCCCTGAATGAATTCATGAGGTTTTTGCAATGATAAAATGGGGAAGAGAAGAGCTGTGCTTCAAGCTATCTCGAACTCCCTGGAGAGGAGGCAGGACGAATACGTAATAATAAACCCCCCTCATCCATAGCCAGTATAGCCAGGGGTAGAAAGATCATGAGAACTGAAACCCAGTAACAGAAAAGAAATGGACCTGGAAGTTGGCAAATTATATAGTCTGTTTCACAGGATGGTTACCATGTCAAAGTAAATTAGTCATTCTGGACATTTTTAACCACCTAAGGTGTTTGTCTGAATCCATCCTTGTTTGTCTGGTTATATTTTACTAATTCTGTGCCAACAAAATAGGAGACTGTGGTTCTTTTTTCTTTCTCTGCTGGCAGAACATGTCAGGTCTCATTCTTGAATCAGAAGAGGGATCCGGTGGCCACAAATCAGAATGATATGCAATGATCATCTGCTGAAATGTCCTCCTATGATCCTTTTCAGTTGACTAAATGGGCGGGGTATAAATTCAAATAAATAAATAAATAAATAAATTTTTCTTAATACTCTCTTTTCATATTTTTCAGTTTTATGGATAAGATTATTTTGCATTGGTGTAGAAATCAAGAATCTACAGTATACACAAATTTCCTAGTTTGGATGAAACAATAAGCTATGAATCATTAGAGATTTCCTGGTGTAACCACAATTTGAATGGAGTGAAGAACCTAATGAGAGTTCTGCTTTGTCAGACAAAAGGCCTACCTAGTCCACCAAGTTGTCACCCAGTTATTTATGACAACCCCACAAGTTGGAAAGAAGACCCTCTGCTAGGGTCCTCCTCAAATGAAACAGAAGCATCTGCTCCTAGACAGTAAGACTGCACAGATGAGTGAAATACTTGTTCAGTATTCAACAAAATGGGGAACCACTATTAATTTACAAACTTCCTTGGTTACTCATACTTTTTGCAAAAAAAGTTGTATCTGTGAGCAAAAATCTTTGTTCCTTAAAGCCAGATGGTCATCCAAAATAGTTTACAGTTCAGAAAACTAACTGAATGTTGTTTCCATGCTAACGTTTTTCCTCAGTCCAATTGTTACAAAGATTAGATGGATATTTCAGATCAGTATCAATTTACAATCAGTACCTAACTGCTGCCAACACAGCTTTGGCTAGAAAAGTAACAGTATTATTTATGGGTGACATTGTCCCACAATTCTGGCTTCAAGCCAAGACAGGAAAATGCGGAAGAGAGAACAAGGCATGCAGTAGCATAAATTCTGAGCACATTAAAAGATGTTCAGTATGCAAAAGATCTTTCGTACCTGTTCTATGCAGTCTTTGCTCAGTGGCGGAGATGGAAAAGCAGCAAAGATTAACACTCCAACATAGAGATATGTGATACCCACCAGAAAATAAGCAATTGCAAGATCTCTGACCTATCATTAAACAAAGCAACAAAGAGTAATTTATTAAGCAATTATTACTGTTATTATTAAGCAGATATAGTGCTTATAGATATGGTTTTTTGAAACAGTATTATAGTAATGTGTTGCAGCATGTACAAAATTAATGAACATCTATCTGTATGAGATAATAAAAAAGTTATTGCTGTACTACAATTTCCAAAATACCCCAGCCAGCTATAACCACTGGTATTCTGGGAGATAAAAGTCCAAAAACTGTTTCCTGTCTTTTTTCCACATATATTCATACAAAGTCTAATTTAATGTGCAATCTTAGCAAAGCACGAAGAAAAGACGCAAGTTAATTTGTGCTAATTCAAAGATAATTAAACCATCACATTCTCCCATGGATCACTGAAATTTGGATCAGACTACTGATTTTAATTTTCTCTAAAGAGAAGTTGTGACGTTTACCCTGTGGCGCCTGCTTGTTTCACCAAACCCAGAGCTCCCGAAGGTATCCCAACATGCCCTTTAACATGCTGCCACCAGTTGATCTCTTTATCAACCTGTATTTCCTAGGAAAGACTGAGGTCCATTCAGTACTGAACTTTTAAATAGAAACAGGTTTATTGATTACAAGTTGTTTTAAGAATAGTTCTTAAGCACATTCTTAAAGTTACACAAAGCTTCAGTATTTTACTTTAACCTCTCCTATCTTAATTAATACAGGTCACACTCTGTCTAATCACTCCTTAAACACTCTCCCTGCCTCAAACTCAAACTATCTTCTCTCTTCTCTGTCTCTGACTCCACTGACTAGACTCATTCCTCTCTTCTAGTTTCTCTGGCTCCACCTCCCAACAATTCCCATTGGTGCAGGCCAATATCATTATATATATAGGAAGACAGGGTGTTCGCTACAGAAGTCTTTATTAAATACAGTGGTGCCTCACAAGACGATGTTAATTCGTTCCGCAAAAATCGCTGTCTTGTGAAAACATCGTCTTGCGAAATGCGGTTACCCATTGGAATGCATTGAAGTCCATTTAATGCGTTCCAATGGGGAAAAATCGTTGTCTTGTGAAAATCGCCCATAGAGAAACCGTTTTGCGAAGCATGGACCAAGCTGTCAAAATTGCTGTCTTGCGAAAAACCATCCCTTAAAAAAAAACGTTTTGCGAAGCGCGGACTCATCTATCAAAATAGTTGTCTTGCGAAAAACTATCCCGAAAAAAAACCCATCTAGCGAAGCGCGGACCAAAACATCATCTAGCGAAAATCACCCATAGGGAAAACCGTTTTGCGAAGCGCCATAGTGGTCGCAAAAACCCATTGTCTCACGGATAAACCATTTTGCGAGGTAATCGTCTAGCGAGGCACCACTGTATATGTGCTGTAAAGCAAATACTGTAGAACAAAACTTATTCAAGCATTTTTTTTTTAGTAAATGATCTAATTTAACTGTGTTTTAAATACCACTGTTGCTTAGAGTTGGGGAACGCTCGTGAAATCTTTTTCAAGAGCTGTTGGTGATATTTCACATATGTCTATTAAGCTCCTCTTTATAGACCTCAGCAAATTTTAAATGGTGGAGCTTCATGTACTATGTCACAGTAACGGACTAAAACCTGATCCTGAAAAAGTTACTGTTTTGGAGCAGAACTCCTAAAACCTAACAATCAGCATGGCTAGAGCTCTGAAGGGAATTGATACACCGTGCCTTAACAGTATTGGACAATGATTCTGATACCTTGAAGATGTCAGGAAATTAGATTTTAATTATGTGGCTACTAAATGGATAGGATATCATCGGGGAAGACTGGGCTAGAGGAACTGGAGCTTTCACATCTACGCACTGCTGTCCATTGTATTCAGCCACTATGGGTTACTGAATTAGCAAGTAGTCCAATCCACTATATGGCAGCATTATATATTCATGTGAACATTCCTTTACGGACAGGACTAGTTGTTTACAATTCCAGGGGTCAAATACTATAAAATTTGGTGACGTGCATCATATATTACAAACCTCAACTTTCTTGTGGTCTGTTGTTTAAAAAAACAAAACTATTTCTAGCTCTCAAAGTTGTAGAGATACATTTTGAAAACATTATAGGCTACTTAAAAGAATATTTTTCTGTGTGTGCATGTTTGTGTGTATTGCATGTGTCCTTGCCCTTTCTTCTGAGGACATCCCATTCTGTATTGGGTGGAAAAGAAAAAGATATTCCTCAGGCGAAGACAGTCCTTGTAGGCACCACAATATTTCTGCCTATGAAATTAGCTCACTGCTCTGGTATAATCTGGCAGGCTTTAAAAGCTTCCAGATCTATTCTGGGCTCTCCTTAGGATCACAGTCCTCAACAGTCCAGACCTGAGACCAACCTTTACCTCAGGTATGCACTTGGGGACCCACTTTTTCACTTATTTGCCATACATTTATTTGTATGTTGCTACTGCTGAAACCAAGTTTAGGTTAGTCTCTAACTTAGAAGTAGCTCCAAAATCATCAGCCAAAGAGCAATGGTTTAGGCTGGGATGGGAAAATGTCTAGGGAACACTCTATTTTAGAAATTTAGATTTTTTTAATGTTTTAAAAATGTTTTTAAAATTGTTTTAAATCTTGGCTAGTGTTTAATTTTTAAAAAATACATATGTATGGTACTTTGTTATGATTGTAAGATTTTAATTGTTGGGAGTCACCTTGGGTCCCCTATGGGAAGAAGGGCGACACGTAAAATTAATCAAAGAAATATGTGCCCTCTAAACTTCTCAGGAGCATTTCTTTGGTATTTGGCAATACAACACATTACAATATGCTTCATATTGAGGAAAGAAGTATGCCAGCCTTTCAAATAGGTTTTTTGAGATGTGATCACCTACCTGCTTCTCTATTCACCCTAAAATTATTTCCTCCCCTTTCCTCTGGCAAACTACTGGTCTCCCTTTTGTTGCTGTTTCTATCTGGGGAATAGCAAGGTAAATGGAAGAAATGCAGGTGAGGAAGACAGAGATGTTTTGGGGTAGAAACCAGGACCTTGTTTGGTCACCTGAAGCCTGTTAACTCACTATGGACAGCAATTTAATTATAAGAAGAAAACAAACTTGCTGACTGACCAGACCTTGTCTGTAGTTATTGAAATGTATTGTGTCACTGTCTACAACGCCAGACACAGATCACCAGCCCACCATGTAAAGAACTGTATAAGCACATCATAAAAATGATGGCTGTGGTCCAAGACATTGTGTAAGCATTACTCAGTTGGAGAAGGAATCAAGAAAACGGGGGTTGGGAGGCAGAATTAAGATGTGAAAGATAGTCAGGCAGCCTTAAACTCAGGATTCTCACAATATCCCTATGGTACCTATGAAACACACTCTTGTAATGCCTGGCCTACATACAGGCTTCCTAAGGGAAAAGAGGCATAATCCTGAGGCAAGATGGAGGATGGAACAAACGATCAACAAAAAAGATGACACATTAAGTACCTTCTAGAGATGTGGGGACTGTTGCTTCATGACATTTACTATAACTAAAGAAAATGGTATGCGCCACAGGTTTTCCTCATGTGTAGATAGTCAGGATAATTGTTTCACAAGCCAAACACAAGTAAATCTATCTGTTTGTCTGTTGTCTGCCTGCCTATCTAAGGCAAGGAAGTTCACATAGACTTCCTCTTCCCAGATTAGTTCCTACAATATTCCTGTGACTAGGCCAGTGTGTATACATGTGTGAATGCGTGATCAAGAGTAAGAAAGAGCTTGGCCCCATGTTACCCAGCGAACTTCATGGTGTAGTAGGGATTTGAAACTGCATTTCCCAACCTTGCTTGCTTTTTATGTACCAATTTTCCTCCAAGAATCTCATGGTGTACATGATTCTTCTTCTCATTTTATCCTCATAATAACCCTCTGAGAGAAGTTAGGCAGAGTGATAAAGACTGACTAAAAGTCACTTGGGAGCTTCATTCATGGCTGAGGGGGATTACACCAGCACTCTGACCATTATATGAAATTGACTTATCTATAGCCAACTGGAAGAGCTTTGTTTGAAAGATGGTTTTGGAAGATGAAGCAAATGTCAATGAATGCAGGATTGGGCTTTGAGCTGGAAAACCTGGGTTCAGACTCTATTTCCACCAGGGGTTTACAGTGAATTTTGGTCAAGTCACTCCCACTAATGGTGTCATTTTCTTAATTTATAATATCAAAACAACAGCAACCTATCTGAGTGGTCGGGCACATAGAAAAACATGAATGTGTAAATTCTACCTTTTGCAAGACAATATAAGCACTGATAACATAATGGAATATTGTTGCACTGAGTTTTTTCTATTCTTGCAGACAAATAAAAGTTCTTAACATAAAATCAATTTTATGTTACCACAAGAATAATCTAATTCACTATTCTAATTAAAACAGACACTGGTTATCTCTGTACAAGTACCTAACAATATGTACTTTATATAAACTACCCCAATATTAGTTATCTTTTAAAGCCAAATTCCTTAAGCTATTGCTAGTGTGTTAAATATAGTTCTCCTTTGTTTAAGGATGCAGTGAGTTACTCTCATTACAGATAGTTTTTAAGTCTATGATGAAACAAAGCAGTAATCTTGTATTCTCTATATACTCACTCTAAATTACTCATGATTTTATGTGCTTCTATCATATCCCTTCTGGGTTACTTGTTTGCTAAGCTCAAGAACCATAGTAGGCTTTAGTGTCTTTGCGTATGGAATGCATTCCATACCCCTGATGATTTTTGTTGCTCTGTTCAATCCTTTTTCCAGTTCTGGACCTCAAAGGGAATTATGATGTCATCAAAACTGGCACAGAGCAAAATCCTTCTTTGTTATAAAACTCCACTTACATGTATGTCAAATTTTGGAAGAGTGCAACTTTATACTACAAGTGTGAGAATCACGGTACAATTTATTGAACTGGAAGCATGCTAACAGGGTAAGCTTTTTAGTTATCATATACATTGACTAGTCTTTTTCGGCACATACTGAACAAACAGAAGAAGCAAGATTGTTTTGTGACTCTGTCAGCTGAATAAGCTCTTCATATGCTACCATGGGGCTTTGGCTATAATGTATAATGTGATCACATTTCCATCTGTCTTAGTATAAGACAGTTATAGGGTATAATTCAGATAATGTGATCACATTTCCATCTGTCTTAGGTACATGGTATAATTCACTTATAGGGAAAACAGGTGTATCTTACTAAGGACCTAGTTCTTCCAAACAGCTACTAATATAATAAAGACTTCTGACTGTATGCTACCATATCATACTTAAGGGAATCTCTAATGACAGATAATTTTTAGATTGACTACAGATTGTAGTTGGCAGAAGCACCTAACAAAATGGCTTTTTAAGGAGGCAGGGAGGAAATGTGCCTCTAGGGACCTGTCTTAGGTCTCAAGGGAATGTCTTCTTTCAGAACAGGAAGTGATAAGAAGTCCCTTCCAGTTTTGAAAACAGGGCTCTCCAGGCCTAAAACAGGTTGTGTGTGTGTGTTTGTGGGAACCATTGTAAAATTGTTACCACATCTTATAGACCAGAGGGGTGAAATGCTGACATGCCAAATATACTTTTATCATTGGCAACAGATGCTGGGGATTCTGGGAGTTGTAAGGTTCAAGACTGCTTTTGGTCAAAATTAAAGAGATACCGGGGAGCACCATGTTGGCCCTGGAATGCACTTTGCAGATTCCTAATATATACAAATTCCCATATGTATTGGGAAATGAAAGAAGGTTAGAGATAAAATTATTGCTACATCATACTAAAGAAACTAGATCTAACAGTTTTACTGAAACTGTGACACAGCTGGAACAAGACAAACACCAAACCCCTATCACAAATGACAAATTCCTAACGCTTCTAAAAAATCTCAGTGAAGTTATCAGAGTTAATGTCAATATAGTAGACAAATAATATATTCAAGTGAAAACATCAATTTTATTGAATATATTCAATAGAAAATTGAATTGCATTTCTCAAATGAAATGAGAAAAAAGGGAAGCGTATCCCATTCACTGTTTGGCAATTTTTCCCAGTGCTCTATGACTATTTTACCCATCTTAGTCAACAAACTTAAATGACTACTGTTTTTCAGTAATCTTAAGTAATTATTGTTTTACCTAAATTAGATAATTCACCTTCTATGTTCTTGTTAAAACACCAGATTCAACTCCCCAATATGTGCATATAATTCTGAAACCAATGTTGCAGAGGTATGTTTAGAGATGTTACTAGCAAAACATGGTAAAGGTATAGAAAAGTCAACTATAATGAAACTCAATTTGTCAATTAAAACAACAACAATTCTTTGGATGTCCAACTTTTCTATCTTTCTCACATTTTAATATAACAATTTCAGAATGAGAACAATGACTATGCAAGATGCTAGCCCACTAACTGGACATTACATATTTAACATGGGCATTAAAATAATATGCAAACAGAATGTATACAAATGAAAATAGTTCTCAAGTACTATAGTGGTTTCTTGCAAAGTGACATTTTTAACTAGTCTTTTTAACTTAGTTATTTTCATCGTATATTTTGTGTTTATGGGCCTGAGAGCTCAGTGGGTTAGGCATCTGACTGTGGAGCCAGTTCTATGGAGTTCAATTCCTCACTGTGTCTCCTTGAGAAAGACTGGACTCCACGATCCATAGGATCCCCTCCAGCTCTGCACTTCTAAGATTCTGATGATTACTCTTGTTGCACAACTCTGTCAGTTTAAAAGGAGATGTGTTGAAAATAGGAATCTCACTAATTATATTTGAATTCCATAAATGTTATGGCATAGAGCATATTTCTGGCCAAAATCCTATTTCTAGCATAACTCATTTGACACAACTTTTGACAGTGTACTACTGCAATTTAAGTAGGTAGACATTATTTGTTGTTTGTCGAGTTGTGTGATTTGGTACACAGCAGATAGTCTACACTGACTTTATAGCAAGCAGAAATTTGCTGTCAAATGTTACCCCATCTTGTGTTATACTGGCAATAGGACTTTTGTCTCTATTTTTTTTTCAAGACAGGTTCCATCTTGCAGCTTTTCCAATGACATGTACTCAGATCCTTCATGCATCTGACCTCAACAAGGCACAGTTGCACCCTATGTACCCTGTGCCTGCTGGCCATTCCATAAAGCCAAAGAACCTGTGGTCTTCTAAATGCAGACACTATTATTCAGATAATCTCAACACTGGCTAGGCTAGCTGGAGCTGATGGTAACTGAATGTTAAGAACATCTGGAGAGGAAGGTTTAAGAGCACTGACTTACAGGATGCACACACACAAAATGCAGCCTGCTGGAATATGGAGCCCAGCAGACTCTCAGGGAAATAAATAAAAATATGAATCCTTCTGTTTCTGTGAGTGTCTCTGCTGGATTCACAAAACAGCTCAGACTAGATTGGCTCTTTATCTGCAGATAAACATTTCTCAGACTGTTACTTACATTTTTTTCTTGGTTCTTGTTATTCTTCAGCAGTGTAATGACACAATTATGAATGAAAAAAGCCAAGGTCAACACTCCTGTAAGCTGAGGAAACAGAATCCTGAATTCTGGGGAAAAGAAAGTAAAATTAAAATGATCAAAATTGCCATATTAATGATATCTCATTCTTACTTACTTCTACACCTGATTTTGGGGCAACCTTTATGAAGGGGGATATTTGGGGCTCATAGAAGAGAATCTTCAATCACTTAATTTAACTGAACAGAATACAGAGGGAGGAAGGTGAAAGGAAAAGAGGTCATCACCGCTCAGAGACCACTGGCAATGGCACGGCTTAAAAATCTTGTAAATAAATAAATAATAAATAATACCTAAAATAGCAAAGAAGTAATTCTACAAATAAGAGGCAATGGCTCAAATCTTGCTGCACAACTTTGCACCCACAACAGGGATTGTGTCATCGTAAGCGACAAATGACAACTAAATAAAGGCATTTCAAGGTGCACATGACTTGCAAAGTGTACCTCAAAATCAACAAAGGAAGTCTGCAATCTCTTGCAATTTGCCACTGGTGATGTTCTACAGTTTGGGCTCTGTACCCATCTTCACTTAAATACAATGAAACACTGCCCCGGTGCCTATTACTATAAGGAGATGGTTCATCTTACACAATGCAATACGTGTCTGTTTCCAGGAAACTGTACTTATAATTATCCTTAGATGTTTTCTCTCTTTTTCTTGATTACCAACAAACTGATGGTGGAAAAACATGTCTCATTTTGCCCATTTTCATTTAACTGCTCTATCCTAACTAAGAATTATCCAAAGTAGATTTATAACCTAACAATTACAGTCTGTTTTATAGGACTTCTGCAGTATTTTCTACAAAACTTTACCAGCTTAAGTGTGGGGACCCTAACTTTTAGAAACTGAGAGAGAAAGATAAAACACTAATCTTGAACACATTTTACTTTGGATTAATTCTCACTCATCAGTTAAACTTTATTCCAAATCATGTGTTCACCATCCAAGTGTAAGAGTCTCTCCAGATGGAGGAGTAAAGCAACATTATACAGGGACTGTACACTTTCTTAGAAGTAAGACTTTTATCATAAGGAAGGACATTCTTAGAAAACTGCCATTGTATGTTGGGAAATTGGGAATCCACCAACAGTGTTCTACTGTAACTGTGTGATGCAGACTTTGGATACATCAAGAGTTCTTTGGGTTGGTATCAAACAGTGTTTGTATAGTAAAAAGACAATGGCAAATTGATCCATAGGGAAAAATGCAACAACTTTATTGACCTTACAATGTAATTTTATAAATGTATTCTACAGAAGTGAAATCCACTCAGTTGACTAAATCTTAGTGCAAGTACAAAGAGGTTTGCTAAAAATATTCAGTTTTTTGGGGGGGCGGGAGGAGGGTTAATGCATTTTAAAGGGTTTTAAGAATGCAACAAATTCATTTAATTTTGCAATTGCAGAACATTTCAATCCTTTCTCTCTTTGCATTTCTGTCCCCGTACAACCTCCACTTTCCACTTAGAAATTAATATACAGTAGCTACTTTTTTCTTCCCATACTCAATACATTTTATATACCTTTTGAGTTAAATTTTTATTTTTTAATAATGCATATATAACTGTCAGACCACATATTTTCTTAAGCTACCAGTCAAGCAAGGGAGTATTCATCTACCTCCTTCAAAAATGTCCCAAAGCCTGATTTGAAACCCAATGCTCTCACAAGATTGAGCACTCCTCCTCTTTAGTACTGTGGCATATTTCTTCCCTGCTTTCATTTTAACAAACTTTTGCATAGATCAAACATTTTGCACTGAGTGGGTTCTGGAACATATTTTGCACACATGGAAATTACTGTACATGGAGGATTAGTAGTAGGCATTAGCTTAAGTTTAAGTTATACGCACATGTCTTATATTTCCTGAACCCACTAGAAAACCAATGTCAGCCACTCCCAAATTAAGGCCACCAACTGACAAACAATGCACGTCGTTTCTATTTTTTGGGCATCAGAGTTCACCAAAAAAGAACAGGAATAATTTTGTCCCAATCCCAGTGTTAACAACAACAACAACAACAAAACTCAACCAGGATGATCAACAAAACTAATTTTGTGATGTATTTTGTAGGGAGAGAATGTGGTGTCAGAATAAGCCTAAAATGCATACAGCACTAAAGAAAGATTGGAAGAGATTGCTAAGAAGTTCAGTGCGTTTAGCACTTGGTTGTGAAGACAGGTTGGGAGTTCAGTTCCCCACTATGCCTTTCAGAACAGCCAGCCTGCGTAGCCATGTGCAAGCTGCACAGTCCTAGAGCACTCCCAGAAGGGAATTGTTCAGAAAATCCTAAAAAGTGTCTCTGTGAGTTGAGATCAAATTCATAGCATGTACAGTAATTATTTACATGGTTCGAAGTTTTTATCCCAATGGCTGACCTAACACATTTGTTGTTTTCCTTTTACTGGTATCTACAATGGCCATGCTGATAATGTAATATATCTTATTTTCACAAAATGGGGGACAACATGGTGTGACTGCCTTTTTCATTCTGAGGTGACTCTTAAAGGGTTTTGCCAACCCATTCAATGTAATATCCTAGAGCTGAACTTTCAGTGTTTGTGGATCTGGTCTGTTTAAACTTGCAATCTGGATTCACCCAGATGCCAAAACGGGCTTGACATCTGTTCCAATTCACAAACAATTCATCAAAGCTGTCTAATTCTCTCCCTCCCCCTCTTCTCCTGCTCTGTTTGGATAACAATGCAGACTATAAACATTCACAGATTAAGTGTGCCAGTAAACAGTAAAAGCCTGAGCAGCGTTTCCTGACGAAGGCCATCTGGAGGTCTGACACGGAACCGCTCCATGTTGTGTGTTAGAGCCTGATTTGAAACCCAATGCTCTCACAAGATTGAGCACTCCTCCTCTTTAGTACTGTGGCATATTTCTTCCCTGCTTTCATTTTAACAAACTTTTGCATAGATCAAACATTTTGCACTGAGTGGGTTCTGGAACATATTTTGCACACATGGAAATTACTGTACATGGAGGATTAGTAGTAGGCATTAGCTTAAGTTTAAGTTATACGCACATGTCTTATATTTCCTGAACCCACTAGAAAACCAATGTCAGCCACTCCCAAATTAAGGCCACCAACTGACAAACAATGCACGTCGTTTCTATTTTTTGGGCATCAGAGTTCACCAAAAAAGAACAGGAATAATTTTGTCCCAATCCCAGGGTTAACAACAACAACAACAACAACAAAACTCAACCAGGATGATCAACAAAACTAATTTTGTGATGTATTTTGTAGGGAGAGAATGTGGTGTCAGAATAAGCCTAAAATGCATACAGCACTAAAGAAAGATTGGAAGAGATTGCTAAGAAGTTCAGTGCGTTTAGCACTTGGTTGTGAAGACAGGTTGGGAGTTCAGTTCCCCACTATGCCTTTCAGAACAGCCAGCCTGCGTAGCCATGTGCAAGCTGCACAGTCCTAGAGCACTCCCAGAAGGGAATTGTTCAGAAAATCCTAAAAAGTGTCTCTGTGAGTTGAGATCAAATTCATAGCATGTACAGTAATTATTTACATGGTTCGAAGTTTTTATCCCAATGGCTGACCTAACACATTTGTTGTTTTCCTTTTACTGGTATCTACAATGGCCATGCTGATAATGTAATATATCTTATTTTCACAAAATGGGGGACAACATGGTGTGACTGCCTTTTTCATTCTGAGGTGACTCTTAAAGGGTTTTGCCAACCCATTCAATGTAATATCCTAGAGCTGAACTTTCAGTGTTTGTGGATCTGGTCTGTTTAAACTTGCAATCTGGATTCACCCAGATGCCAAAACGGGCTTGACATCTGTTCCAATTCACAAACAATTCATCAAAGCTGTCTAATTCTCTCCCTCCCCCTCTTCTCCTGCTCTGTTTGGATAACAATGCAGACTATAAACATTCACAGATTAAGTGTGCCAGTAAACAGTAAAAGCCTGAGCAGCGTTTCCTGACGAAGGCCATCTGGAGGTCTGACACGGAACCGCTCCATGTTGTGTGTTAGATTAAGCTAAAGGAGAGTTGAAAATCAATGCGATGGGCATGCAGTCATGGGTAATTCATGTACCTATGCAAACATTCCATGTATATCCTGTGGCACATAGACATGCCTGTTGCATAGACTGACCCACTCGGATGCAGACTTGGCACACTGGGAGACTCTGGAGGTGAGCGAGTAGTTTGCCCAAGACTATAACCATATCAATTCTGGCCCCAAGTCATCCTCTGGCTGCAGATCTTTACCAAGTGGGACTAAAAGTGTACGTCCCACACCATGCTCAAAAGAAAACGGTAAAACAAATGTTTTTCCTTCCACTGCTGTTATGCCAAAGGTAAAATCATGCTCTGTTTCATCATTCAGATGGGAAATGTTTACCACAAAGTCAGCCATTGAAGAAGAAAACTCTTTGGCACTGTTATTTACACTACAATAGTGGTTAGGAGAGCAGGAGAAAATGTTTTCCAGACCACAAATCCTGAAATTTGGTGGGGACTTCTAACAAATCACTCAGAGTTCCACGTGCTTTTAATTACAACAAACAGCAGTTTTTCTTCTGCTAATCAAAATGATCTTAGTTTGTGAACTTCATCAACCACCCATAAAAAAAGCACCACTGAAGAATAATAGAACCATAAGAGGCTCTGCCATCTATGTAGAGGTTAAAGCTCCAGCACAGTGACTACACAGGGCAAATAAAATTGGCCCATGTTTACAATATTCTGTTTCTCATTATTTTATCTGCCACTGCAAAGAAAATGCAGCCCAGCAGAATCTTGAGTTCTTCAGCAGAGGACTATGCTGCCAAGTCAATCTAGTCATACCCACCTGGTACTCTCTGGATGGACTGGACTAGAATCCCTAGAATCCCCCGTTAACTTGGGCAAAAGCTGGTAGATTGTGGAAGTTGTAGTCTAAACTAACTAGAGATCATTAAGAAGGGTGGGGGGATTGGCCTAATTTCTGCTGTAGAGCCTGGGTGGGGACTGTGCAGCCATCAGCTATAGTTAGACCACAACCCATCAGCTTTAGCCAGTAGAATCAACGAGGAGGAGCTGGCTCTGCAGACAAATACGAACTGAAGGACTACATATGCCTCATTAGTACTGTAGACCAACTTCTTCCACCGAGTTTTAAATAGGGCATCATTACAGAGACTATATGTCCGTCTGTTTTGGCCTAACTTATTATCTGTTTTAATGGGCTGAGATGCTAGTCCTATTCACTAGTGACTCTGAGATCCAGAACCATCAACACAGTTATAGGGAAGACACTAGTTCTGTCTCCTCTATCCCGTTGCTGACATAAGCAGCCATGAATCTGAAGAAGGGACAATTTCTTCTCAAATGTGAGCTCCACACATGGGCAAGAGCCCTGGAAAGTCTTCATTCTTGCTGATATGTCCTTGCTTGCATGAACAAAGAAGCAACAAGAGGCTGGGGCACAGCTACCTTCTTTCCGTAATCAAACTGATGATTCCTGTTCACAGAACAATAAATAGGACTATTGTTGGCTGTCCAGTCAGTTCATAGCCAAGATGAGATTTGAACTGGGGTTTCAAAGAAACACCTGCTGTCCCTCATCAGTTCTTGTAAACATACAGCTTAGATTATAATACATAGTGACATAAGATGTCCTTTGTTCATTTTAGCATCGTCTCTTCACTAGTTTAAATCACAAAGGAAAGACTAGTTATGTATGAAAATAAACTGTGCGAACCAGCTGCGCAGCCAAGTGCACTTGGGTGCCTTTGAAAGGGCTATCCTGCCACAGACCAAATTGTTCCCATGGATTGGCTTCTGTTTAAAAAATTCTCTTCTCAATATTCTGAAACGCCCATGCACCCCTCCATAGGAAGAAGTGTTCAATATTCTTTGAATTACATCAAGTTTATGGAAAAGGTAATGGAAGAAGAGCGGGGTTCCACCTCTTCAACAGCAGCTACTTCTGTGGCCGTTAGGGAAATTATGAGAATTGGGAGGCCAATATGACAGAAACCGTGTTTCTTATCCTGGGCTCTAAAGATCAAGAGCAGGAGAATAAATAAATTCAAATTAGGAGAGTAACTGTGCCAGTCCACCAGTCCAGCAGCTATCTTGAGCTTCGGATGGAGCTCACCCTAAATATGAGGGGAGAAAGAGAAATACGTTCCTTGCCTACATGGTCAGACCCACCAGATTAATTCCACCAAATTGGTTAGGTTAGGTGCTCTGAGTGGCCCAAATTCCTATGATGTTTTAGAATACTGTACCATTGTGCTCTCTTAGAGGAACTCAATGTTAAAGATTTGCACATGGAAGACAATTCTGAAATAGCTCATCAACAGTGACTTGTCATTACAGAATATTTCCCACATATATTCTTCTCTGTGGGAAAAAGTTGCACTAGAACCAACCCCTTACAGTTCTTTGGTTTATAGTTAGGGATACATCATGACCTAGAGACTTGTAAAACATGAATGCCACTTGGAAGAAATCATGAAATTCACTGGGGCATGTTTCGGATTCCCCTGGTTTCATATTAAAGCAAGGAATAATAAAAAATTAATGATTCACATGTTGTTTCTAATTCCCTCAGCTACCTATTCCAGGCAACGGATAATTTAAAGAATAGCAACTGGCATAATGTTTTCTCCGTCTCCAGAGGAAGTAAAGAAGAATAATCTAATCAAACACTACAAGAGGAAAATAAAATCTGCTGAGCTTTTCTTGGCTGCCCAACAACACCCCTAAGTGAAGGTCAAAGGAGCCATCCCTGATGCCTCCTCGTAAGTCTTTCAGAGGAAGAAAAGCAAAGACGTTAATGGCCTCAAGAGGACTTCAATAGTGACGATGTAATTTCCAGGTGGTAGGGAAGCTGGACGCCAGTCAATCCACCCAATCCAGCTTTTTTTTTTTTTGCCTGGGAATCCAGCTATTACCCAGTGCTGACTCTGGAAGTCTCATGTCTAAAAACGCTTCTTACTAAATAACTTCCTCAGCATGGAATCCCTATGTTATTCAACTCACTTGAATGCCTTGCTTATTTACTCTTTCTAGCAACTCTCTGACAGAACTCAGAAGCTGCAGGAGAGGAAAAGTAGTGTATGAACAGAGGAACAGGAGCAAAGCTTCCTTTTCATGTCAGGGTGTGTGGAAGAGGGCTTCCCTTGCATTGCCCACACATCTCCCTTTCTGATACTGACATCCGCAAACAAATTGAAAGATCAGTGTGGGTGGAGGGAATAGAATATGACATTCTAGATCTCCCATTTTGAAACTGGAACTCTGTTTCCAACCGCCAATGAGGATTTCCAATCCATCCTGTAGCTCTTGGCCAAAGGGCCATATCCCAAGGAGTTTAGGAATACAGAGTAAATATCCTATTAAATTATCAAAGAGGGAACTTTTTTGGGGGGTGGGAGGGGAAGTTACCTGGCACAAAATATTCACTTGTTTCAGACCAGTCAAATTCTAAATGGCATCCCAAACGTGCAGCTTTCACAGTGACAAGAATAATTAGATAAACGACTGAAACGGTACCTGTAATGGGGAAAGGGAAAAAGAAAAGTAGTGAACCTAGGAACATTTAGAGTGACTAGCAAGCAGTAAAAAAGTTGCTCTCTGGTCTGTGAGAACCACGCATTGCCTGGCACCAGCTCAAAGGAAGTGGGTATGTCCTTCTTCCCTCCTCCCTTCCCCATTTTGTTTTATTTGCTTGTAAATTGTCTTTGGTGATAATTTTCTACTATTGAGATATCATATCAGGGATGAGGAACATGTGGCTCACCAGCTGCTCTTGGAATGCAAGGTTCCATCAGACCTAACCAGCACAGCCAATAGTGAAGGATAGTAAGAAATGAAGTCGGACAACATCTGAAAAGCCACACACATTTCCCATTCCTGTTCTTCATCATATCCAACCAGGAATAAAACAGAGAGATCTCACAGGATAGTAAAAGTCCGAGGATAGGAAATTATGCTATCTTGATCCTTTTATGACTGCATCTACAACAGACATTTGTACTGAGAAAGATTCCAGAATGTGGAGACCTGAAAATTTTGTTTCAGAGCTCAGTAAAGTCACTTTCTGTACTATAATTCCCAGAATCTCCCAGACAGCATGGTCATTAGACATAATGGCTGGGAAATTGTAAAGTGCATTTCAGAAAAGTGCTTTTTCAAATTTTGAGGTGAGAAGTGGACAGGTATACATTGCTGGACTACAACTCCCAGAATTCCCTTCTGGGGAACTCTGGGAGCTATAGTTCAAAAACACAAATATGCACATCTTGAAACAAATCCTCAAGTTCTGAGGACAGGTTCTGCTTAAAAAGAAAAGATAATTAGTATGGAGGTGGGCAAATCACATGGACCATAAAGAATCTCCTTGGAAATATTTTATGCGCAGAAGCACTGCAGTAAGTTTCCCTGTTAAGAACACCTCCTTGTTACAATTTGCCTACTTGTTCCCATTCACATAAACAAACAGTAATTCTGTTCTGAAAGTGTGTCATTTCATTGTAAATGTCTATTTTTTTGAAGAAAAAAGGATTAGAAATGCCTCTGTGAATAACTACTAAAAATAATAAATAATAAAATAACTAATAAAATTATAAAAATATTGCTGTTGTGAGAAGATAATATATAGAAAGGCAGTACATGAATAATGCTTGAAAAAACATAACAGCCATGACTGTTATTTGTCAACAACCGAAATCCAGTCATAAATCGTAACTACAGAAGGCCCACTGAGTCAGAGGGGAGTTAGTAACTCTACACCTCTGTAAATTCCACTCATCCAATGGACCTACTATAGTTGTTACTTACTACTCGATTTCAGTCATTGTGTCCATGTTTTCACTATTATCTCTGTAAATCTATAAGAACTAGAAAATTGATTTTTATTTTTATTTTTTTGTAAAAATGTGAAGTTCCTTAGAATTCTAGCAGGAGCAGCGAAGGGATCAGGGAAAGGTAGCATTAGCCTATTTGGCCCACATTAAAAAGAAAATAGTGCAATACTGAAAATATTAAACCAAGACAATAGACACTGAATAAAAAAAAATTTCAGGACTGCAAACACATTAAATATATTTCTCCAGGACTAACATTGCCTACCTAACATGTTAAATTTGGCAAAGAAAGCTGGAGACTTAAAATTCAATAGCAGAAGAATGACACTCAGGTACAATGGGACAGTTTTTGATTTGTCCCACAACTTTTCGAAATCTGGAAAACCTCCACCGCCAGCAGAAACAATCAGAAGTGTTCTGTTTCCTGACGCTTCCTGTCCAGCATCACCTGGACATATTACTGGGAAAACAAAAAGAGAACAAACGTCAATTTACTTTCATGAAAGCATAAGGAGTGTGTGTGTGTATATGTGTGATAGAAGGTAAAGGTTCCCCATTAAGAGGAATGAGCTCTCTATAGTGTCTGAGGCCACATGACTTAAACATAAATACTGCATGTGTTTCAGCATCCCCACATAGTCTTTCTGAGGCCACATGACTTAAACATAAATACATGTGTTTCAGCATCCCCACATAGTCTGTAAAGAAATCTACATTACAATGGCTGCAACTGCATGACCACCAGCTATGCTGTACTCATCCTTGTGTGCTGGAATTCTATGAGAAATTATATCTACCAACTTGCTGAGTCATGAAGGATAAGTACTGTGAAACAGTAATTGCTTCCATACTTCTTTTCACCCTTGGGCCATCACAATGTTCCCTTCCCACCACTGGATGAAAGTTGTTCACAGTGTGGCAGGGCAACAGACAGTGTGACCTACAGGAATTCTCCAGTTAGGAAAAATCAGCTGAATGTTTTGCTTGGTACTCTTCTGTGTGCTCTCTACCCCCTTCCTCTTTGCAGAAAACAAGACGGAGAATTGAAGCAGCACTCAAAGGGCTGTTATCCTCCAGCGCATCTCTCTGATGATACGCTCCAGATGGCTATGTGCAGTACTATCTCGGGTGGAGCTATGCTTCGTTGCCTGCGATAAGCAACTGCCCAGTTGCCCACCATGAACAGGCATGTGCCTAGTTAAACGCTGTACAAAGAGATATTTATTGAGCTGGATTTAGTTTAAACTGTTTCAACTTACTGCCCACTGAGGTCAATGGGGCATTTTAGGTACAATCATATTCAGCAGAATTTGCCTAACTTTGACGGAGTGAGCTCCCGTTGCTTTGTCCCAGCTCCCTCCAACCTAGCGGTTCGAAAGCATGCAAATGTAAGTAGATCAATAGGGACCACCTCGGTGGGAAGGTAACAGCGTTCTGTGTCTAAGTCGCATTGGCCATGTGACCACGGAAGATTGTCTTCGGACAAAACGCTGGCTCTATGGCTTGGAAATGGGGATGAGGACCGCCCCCTAGAGTCAAACACGACTGGACAAAAATTGTCAAGGGGAACCTTTACCTTTACCTCAAAAAGAGCCCAACATATCTACACACACTTGATACTCAGGAACATTTTGCCTTGAGTTTAATTCTGATGTGTATCAGAATAGTTGGACCCAAGCACAGCAAATTCACTGACTCAGTGGCACTTAATGTAAGTATTTAGTTACTAAAGTATGGTTGATTCAAAAGTTCTATTTTCACTGGGAATAACAGCTGGATTTAACCCAATGGCTCAAATTCTATTGCTTAGGATAGTAAATTGCACTATACTAAGTCCATTGAATCAACTGAGGTTTAGTAAGTCAATTGCTCTGTACATTTCATTGATACAATTCTTACTTGTGACTTACTATATACTAAAGAAAGTCACAATTAAAGTAGCTTCATTTGAATCAATGGAACCTACAGAGAAGTTGACTCACCAAATCCCGATCAATTCAGTTGACTTCCTCTAGTGAGATTTACTAACAGGATTTTGTCTGACATGTGCAACATGCCACTATCGATAAGTACAACTGACAAGAGAGGAGGTGTAACAGGGTCAATCACAGTGTGCCCTGCCTAATTTTCTAGATACATGCAAGGATCCCTAGTGTCACCAGAAAATGTCCTCCTTGCAGACTAGTTTCCTTGTAGTGCATGGTTCCAGCTTTGTCTTATTGAAGCCACTCACCATACACTTTGTTGAGTAAATGTTTTCATAATTATTCTGAGCAAAGAATGTATATTTCTGTTCAAGTTTCAAAATTAACATGAGCTGCAAGGGATGTTAATAGTATTTATTCATGTAAAACTCCTTGTGGCCTAGCTTCTCAACGAAAGGGTTCTTCACATACACACCAACACTTTGTATAAAACCCACATGCCAGGGAATTTTTTCTTGGTCCACAAAGGGCTACTGTTTAAATTTTCCAGCCAACAGGTTAAGTAAAAAATGGGGCAAGCAGAACAGAAACTTCCCCACTCCTACCTTCTCTGCATTTCTTCCGATTAAGGGCAGACTTATACAAAACACACACAGCACTTACTGCACAATTTTGCTCTTTAAATCTGCCCCAACCCACTTCATATGTGATGACGTCAAATTAAGTTTGAACCACTGTAGTCTATCCCAGTGATGTGTTGTTTCAGCCATAGTTGTTGACTCTATGGTATGATGTGGGGGAGGGGAGGATGCAAGCAGCTGTCAGCAGCAAACAGGCATGATTTATGCACACAGCATGGTCTTACTATGCATTCCACAGAATTTTCTCAGTACAGATCTTTTCATCACATCTTGGCTGTGTGCCTAGCTGGCTACAATGCTCTTAACATAGCTTCATGAAGCATTGGGTCGTTTCTCAGAAGGGCCAAATGAGTCACTAGCATTATTTTTGCCAGTCTGTTTGCTCTCCATTGTCTTTATAATAACAGTGTCCGAGAGAAAAGTCAGCAGTATCTCTGAAACCTATATGGACTTCTCACGAGGAAAGGGATGAAAGATCAGTGGTTGATTTTTAAATTCTCTGGGATACTGTATTTGCTTTGTGAAATAAACGGTCATTCCATTTAGGTACAGAAGAAGTCCAGATGGAATCGTTGTAACCCCCTGAGATCTTACATCTCTTCATTGACTGTTTTCCTCAGTGTATTTGTTCTTCAGGCATATTTTAGTGGGGGTTTTTGGGGGGGGGCGGCGGGAAGCAAAATGGCCAAAATCCTATTGCAAAATAACTGGGTCTGTAAGGGAAATTGTGCAATTATTTTCTGGCAAGTTGTCACACATCCATGACCTGAGTGTGTTGAAGCATACGACAGCCAGCCAGAACGTTTGCATACCAATTATTCAGTTTTGGGTGTCTACTCCTCAAATCCAATAGGATTCTGGGCAATGTGAAAAGAAAAAAAAAACAGAAAAAGCAGATAGACACCACTGGAGAATGTACTGGAGGCCCCTCTCTTTCCTTCAAAAACAAAAAACAGCTTTTTGAAATTCAGTATCCCAGGGGTGGTACTGATTTTTTTGGGAAAAATTAAATGTTTGTTTAGCTTCTGAGAGTTTACAGAATAGCATAATTATGTGTAGTAATTGAAGGCATAACTAAAAAAGATAGGACATAGTATTGCTCAGTGTAGCAGTCACTAGCTGAAGAAACAAATGGTATGCACCAGTGAAGACATTTGCTTTTTTGCACAGAAAAATGTGGTGGGACAGAAGAATTATAGGTTTCCCTTACCTCTGTCACTCCCATTTGTACCAGGAACAAGATCTGTCACATTAATGTCATGAACATAATCTGAAAAATCGCAAGAAAAACATATTAAGAATACCAGGACCTTCCAGCTACCCTCTTTGAAAGGTACATTTTTGGAAAAATCATGATACTTGCTGAAAAATCATGATACTTACATCAGCAACTCCAACCCGACTTACAGCAGTCATAGTCTAATACCTGTATGTCTCAAGGACACCGGGGTGGGGGAGGCTCTGTTATACTACACCTCCCACAGTGGGCATGCTTGGTTGCCAACACTGTCTTCTTTCTGGTACCCAGTTACTCCGTTTCATCTGCCCAGGCAATTTCATTCTGTACTATACTTTATAAAGTTGGCTGAAATATTCCTTAAAACAAATGTGGGAATATGGAAGCCACATTCCAAAACATCCAGAGGATCAGCTGTTCTACAACCATAGCAGGCTAAAAGGCAGCCTTCCCCTCTTTCTCACTTTACAAACATGACCATCAGGGCCTCTATTCACTTGCTTGTTTGTTTAAAAGCTCTTTTGTATTTTTGCCATGATACAGTCAATACCATTTAGAAAACCAGAACATTCAAAGTAATAAACAAAGACATCTGCAATCTTTCCAAGTTCTTGCAAAAGCCGGGGGGTGGTGGTGGTAAAGCCAACAGTGGTAACATGAGTTGGTTTGCTCTTACTTTTCCCCTTCTCCATCCTGTATTGCCATCTACTGGATAAACAGCTTAAAGAAATTAAACCTTCTCGACACTGAGACGAAACAGCAGTGTGAGCCACTCAAAGAGGAATTTAAAGCTAATTATACCTATCTGGACTTACTGACAATCAAATGAGAGTCACTTCCAAATAAAATTCACACAGTTAAAACAAATGCACCAGGTGCACCTGTTCCTGGAGATGTCTGATTGGTCCATGCTGATCTATGGCTTAGTTATGCTGACTTGAATTATTGTAATGCATTTTACATGGAGCTGCCTTTGGAAGGCATTCAGAAACTTCAGCTTATCCTAAACGCTGTGGCCATACTACTAACCAGAGCGGTTCGCAGGCTGTAGAACCTCCTCCCAATGGAAGCCAGGTCTGCCCCCTCCTTGCTGACTTTCTGCCAAGGAGGGGATTTTCACAGGCAGGATGTTGTATTTGTAATCTTTGTATTGTACTTTTAAATCATTTTATTCAATTGTTGTTATAATGTGTACATGGTCAGTATTCTATTCAAGATTTACATGTACTGATCTCATATTTCCCGAGAATCATCATTCCTGAATACGTTAATAATTAATTAAACTACTGTCCATTTGCTTATTCAATTAACAAACTTCTCGGTGCTGAGTGTATGTTTTACAGCAACTCTTCCAGATGATTTGAATATATGATTTATCTCAGGTATCTTTACACACCCAGGGGAGCACAGAAAAAGAATAAAACAATTTAAACCACGTAAATACAAAGTCAACCCCAAAGCCACAAAATAGTAAAAACAGCACACATCAGTCAGTCAGATGAAAGCTGCATCAAGGTGAACCAGACTGTTTCACGCCTGGTACATCACCAATAATACGGCCTTCTCTCTGGCAGCCACCTGCATTACCCCCAGATAGTGTTGTGGTGTCCTGTGCCAGGAGGCCCTTTGCTGACAATTTTAATCCATGGGAAGATACAAAGACAGAACTGAATCCTAAATCAAAAAAGACTCTGAAGGTCACAATAAATACTTTAACCTGGACATAGAAATGGATGGGCCCAGTGCAGCTGGCATTCCATAGCTGTAAACCTTTCATACTTCTAGTCCTAATAATTTATCAGTTTCCTTCTGGATTGATTCATTTCCAAAGAGAGGTAGCCCCTGGCACATAACATTACAACTGTCTATACTGGAGCTTACTGGAGCTTCGGTAACTGATTGGCAAGCTATCATGAATTATAACCAAATATATAATATAAAACATGTAATATAAATTATAGCCAATTACGATTATATGCCAATTTTACAGCCAATTATAATTGCAAATTATAGCCACCAGATATCCATGGTATAGTTTAATGCTAGGTATTTTGAGCTCACATAACTAAACATTGCTAAGTTTCACAATTTGCTTCCTTGTAAATCAGCTAGAAAAAGATCAGTTAGGAGCAAGTCAATATAGGAACAGTAACATTTAGTGAGGATTTTCCATTTAACTAGGAAGGGAAACTAGGCTTTGAAGCTTCGCTCATATCCTGTAAAAGAGTGACGTTTGTTTAATCTAACCTCACCTCATGCCTGTGCCACCATAACCATGCCACCTGAGGTAATGGCAGATGGGAGGGATTTATTCTACAGAGGTGAAGGGCTGAGCAAACAAACGCAGGATACTATAGTAACCCCTCACCCTCAATTGATTTCTGCTGTATAGGTTTAACTATATATTCCTTTGAAGGGACGTGGTGGCGCTGCAGGTTAAACCGCAGAAGCCTCTTTGCTGCAAGGTCAGAAGACCTGCAGTCATAAGATCAAATCCATGCAACGGAGTGAGCTCCCGTCGCTAGTCCCAGCTCCCGCCAACCTAGCAGTTCAAAAACATGCAAATGCAAATAGATAAATAGGTATCACCACGGTGGGAAGGTAACGGCGTTCCATGCCTAGTCACACTGGCCACATGACCACGGAAAATTGTCTTCGGACAAACGCTAGCTCAATGGGTTGGAAACGGAGATGAGCACTAGTGTCGGATACAACTGGACAAATTGTCAAGTGGAACCTTTACCTTACCCTGCAATGAGCTGCAGCTCCTGAGAACAAGGAGGATCTCGTATGATTTATGAACACTTATCTTCTCTATGGGTGAAATGAAAGCTTCACATATGTTAAATGGATGCTCAAAATGGGGTACTCAAGCATGGAAAAGCAGTGAACAGAGCTGTATGATGAAGTCTGCACCATTTAGATTTTATATGTGGAGAAAAGACTTTCACAGACCTCCCTGCCTGCCCAAAGAGACACTTTTTCCAGCCTGTATTCATTTTGGTTGCATTGCTCTCAAGCACCATTGACAAGGACCAGGCACTCTTTTCCTTAAAAATATCTGGTGATGTAAGAGAAAAGAACACAAACATCTCTGTCGCTAGACCCAACACAGGGATCACGGAAGAGTTATATCTATGGGCTGGAATCGCAGCCTTCTCATTTTTAAAAAAAGCATGTTTGCTTCCAAGATTCTTGAAGGGCTGCCATGTTAAAATATGTTTCTGATTGAGAATTTAATACTTCCCTTTAGATAAGATTACTGATGTTCCAGACGCTTGGTTTCCTTACATGTTTTTAGAAGAACCATGATCTTAATCTTTTACTCCAGTGGCCAGTAGGCTGCAAATGAAAGATTTCTTTTTTCCATTTCAATCTGCGAGTGACTTCATCTCTTTGTACGAGAGTCACATACACACGGAAATTGGAAAAGGAGCTTTTTAATCAATGGCAATCTGCTGCTGCTGACATCATTCCTGTTCTACAGACACACCCATGTAACAGGCTACTGGCCAGAATCTGTTTAACATAACTCCATCATTGGCTGCCTGCAGTGGGCTAGTTATTGTTTGGCAACAAAAGACAATGACTAGCAGCCAAAAAAATCTGGTAGAGATGATTTATTACTACTACTTCTAAGCATTTTTTGGACTGCTGCCATCATAAAGTAGTAAGTTTTGAGGCACTTAGTCTAGTGAGAGGAGCCTCTCCCCAAGACTGCACATGGTTTTTGGTGTGTGCAAAAACTATGCTAAGAGCAATCAAGATCAATTATTTCTTCCATGACACATAAACTCTGATTTTATCTTTGGGTCTCACTATTAAGTATTAAGAATTTTATGGGTTAACCATTACTTATGGATTCTGCATAAGTTCTCTAGCTCCATGCTTGCAGTCTCCATTTGAGAGCACAAGGATCTACAGCTCCCAGGACTTGCAGTAACAACTAGCCAGGACGAATTTTGATTTTTCCCCCTCTTTCTATCTCTGTCCATCCAGTCTGATGAAGAGTTCTAAAAGATCTGAAGTGCTTACTTTTTTAATGTTTTTATTTTATGGTGGTATTATCCACCTCTACTTTTAAAATGTTACTTATTGACCACATGGCTAAATCTTTTCAGCATTATGGATTATATTATTTTACCTATCTATATTATGCTGTAATCACTGAATTTATGTTTTAATCTGAATTGTCTTACATGTTATCAGACTTGGTTCTTAATATATTATATTAATATCTGATGTTTCTTGTGAGTAGCTTTGGGCAATGTGGAAGTATACTCTATTGACAAACTTTAATTTAGCCTGCAATCTTATGTTCCCTGGGAAGGCTCTTCAGGGGGACTATAGATTTAGCCAATTTTTCTCTCACTCCATAGAGGGAAAGATCTGCAGTATTAAAGGGAATCAATCTTCCCTTGCCCTTGCTGCTCCACAGATGGTAATGATGGCAAAAAGGAGTCATTTTAGGGGTGGACTAGGATGGCTTAGGATCTGTTGGTTCAAAGCCGTCTTCTAATGTGCCTACCAAATATGTGGGGCAAGTACGTGAGCCCTATTGTCATGTATTTATCTTCTTTCTCCATGGAACCAAGTGTGAGGAGAAAACCAGAAGGAAACAAGATGATGAATACCACCCCCTATTGTAGCAGTTCCACCACCCCACAGCTCCTCTTATTTCTGAGCCCTCTGCACTAAAACCTGCAAGCTTCCTCTTTGTTCTGGCACTTTAGGTAAAGGTAAAGGTTCCCCTTGACAATTTTTGTCCAGTCGTGTTCGACTCTAGGGGGCGGTGCTCATCCCCGTTTCCAAGCCATGGAGCCAGCGTTTGTCCGAAGACAATCTTCCGTGGTCACATGGCCAGTGCGATTTAGACACGGAACGCTGG